GTCATCTTCCCTCTCCTCCTCCCTTCGTCTCTCCTCCCCTCCATTCATCCGTGTATGAGAATTGACCCTGGCCTTCTCTTCTATGTCCAAGGCCAGGCCTTCACACCACCGATGTATGTTTGTGAGTGTCTCGTTGCAGTCTGAGTCAGGTCTGGGTCAATCCATGTATCTGAAGTCTTCCCCTGTATTTGTATGTACTCTGTATTATCTGGTCGGTTCTGGGAATCTGCGCCATACTTATGACTGTGTTTCACGAGTATGCAACATAAGGTGTGGGCATTATAGCTTTCTCTGGCCTTAGAATTCCCGACACTTTATGTGTGTACCAACTGTTGAAATGATATCTTAGTGGCCGGTCAGTTTCACGAATGATGTCTCAATCAATGCTGTTCCCTTCTCCTTGGGAAAAAAAAAAGAAAAAAGGTCAGAATTCCTGACACTATGATGAGCATGTGTTACGCTCGAGCGAAGATGGTAGTCTTCTTCCCCTTTTTTTTCTTGTTCTTGTTCTTGTTCTTGTTCTTGTTCTTGTTCTTGTTCTTGTTCTTGTTCTTGTTCTTGTTCTCGTTCTTCTTCTTCTTCTTCTTTTTTTTTTCCCCATAAAACGGGGCCTTATGGTCCTCTATTCTGGGGAGCGTCAGTCCGGTTCCTATTCCACTGGCAAGTCAAAGTGTACATTACATCAATAAAAACTCACACACGCTTCCTTCCGTCAGGCCGAAGGACCCCTGAACAGCATTGATTGCTCCACCACGGTGGAGGATTGACTGTCAGCTTGCCCTGTCCCTCTCTTTCCTCTCAGACCTGGATTCCAGATCTGCCAGATAGCGCCATTGACCCTAGAAAGAGCTCATCCGTTGTCTTTCTCGGTCTGTTCCCTCCCCACACACCTCTCTGCCCCTCTTGGATAATCAACCGTCAAACGCTAAACCCTAAACCCTCTTCTTCTTCTTCTTCTTCTTCCCTGGTTGCCACCTCGAGAGGGAGCTTGCCATGATCGTGCAGAGAGGGAGCTTGCCATGAGCGTGCAGAGTAGTTAAGGTTGAACATAGGTGAGGAATGGTTGAGCTCTGTTATGAATGGCATTTTTTCATGAAATTTGGTCCCCCGTTTGTCTGGGGCAGGTGCGGCACACACGGATGGACTTGCGGCATGTTTTCCATGACACTGCGTTGCCGTTCGCTATTGAAAACCGCTGAGCTGCACGTTGCGTGTGTTTGATGTCTGTTTCGTTGTGCAGATGCTACGAGGAAGGCGGCATCCCGCGGTTTCGATCTATCGGAGGAAATCTGGGGTCGTCATGCCTCCTGTGGGTATATGCCCAATGATCATGCAGGCACAGAACCGTGCGAACTTGACAGCTGTTCAAGTCACTTGCCGAGTCATTGGAAACGAGCCGCCTCCGCTTGCGGAAGCTTTCAATTTATCCTATCCAGATAAGTTCATGGCACGGGTTCGTGCGACGACTGTGGACCGAACATATGCGTATAGACGTGAGCAGGACAGCGGTTGCCGTGTTGCTGTCAGGTTGTCGGAGCGGCTGGATACGCTGTGCTTTGTTTTCCACCCCAATGGAATGACATACGATCCCTCCGATACAGTCGATTCCACTGGGACTGTCCCGGAGTTGCTGTGGGAATCAAGAATGAAATCCCTGGAGGTGAGTCTAAGCTACTCTGTTTTGAACCCTGACGTAGTCGTTAACGGCCAAGGGGGGGGTCCAGTACGCCCAGAAGCACGCAAGGTACTGGCTTGGGTTGGCAATTACGAGGGCGACGATAAGGATTTACTGCCTTCAGTGGAAACACGCTCGCAGGGCAGTGCAACTACCCTGGCAACGGATTTGCGAACGTATAACGTGTTGGCGGATGAACCAGGCGGATCACTAGCGAACGGTACAGTGCGGCTTAGCAGCACGCCCTCACCAAGCGGCTTCATGGAGACGTACAATGTTCTGGGGAACAGGTTCTTTGGGACTGGATCAAGCGTCGAGCTGGTCCTGAAGCTGGAGGAGAGGAGGAGGTTGAATGGGAAAGGATCTGGCCAGGTGAGTGTAATGTTTCTGCTGCCCCTACCCCCCCCCCCCCCCCCCCCCCCCCCTCCCCTCCTCCCTTTCCCTATGATTGATGTATTGTGCATTTGATGTACCCGCAGGTACTCGAGGAGATTGAAAACACTGTTGATTTCGAGCTCGTGGCTCTGGGCAGACTATTTTAAACAATCAATCCGCACTGGACTGCTACTACCGGTAGTGATGGGTGCTCGTATCACCATGACTAGCAGGTTGGGCGGATGATAAAAAAAACAAAAAAAGGTAAGGAAAAAGTTTCAAAAGAAAAAAACAACAAAAACAGAAAAAGAAAAACAAGTCTAAGATGGCAAAATGAATTCTGGCGGTAAGCGTTCACAGTTTTATGCGATCTTTTGTATTTTTTCTTTTTCTGTTTTTTTGGTCCCTGCACATGCTACCAGTAGTCAGTAGACCGTAAAACATAAAACATAAAACATAAAACAATTTGTTTGTCCGGAGCTACACGTCCACAGAATTATAATTGGTTGGGGGGCTGGTGGTTTGACGTACCTCGGGTGGGTGATTGGTGGCGATCGAGATGTCGGGTCCTGCCCTATGTGGGCCCTGACCATTGTCCGGTTCTTCTCGAACGTTTGCGGCATCCTGCCGTCCGAACAGCTCGCGATCATAATTCCCTCCCGGAGTGGGTGGTCCTCTCGTCGGATGTGTCCCTCCCACTTTACATCTGACTTCTCACCGAAATGATCTTTTCTGCGAAACAACTGTTCGATAGTAGTACCCTTGCCTGGCTCACTGGGGGCCTACGGATTGTTTCTTTCCAGCCTGCATGGGGGTCACATGATTTCTTCTGCGCCACAAGCTTATGACTTGGTTTGGCTTTTGTGGGTAAGCACTGCTAGAACTGCTTTCCAGGCCGCCTGTGGGTTACGCCATGAAGGCATTAACCTGTGTGGCCGTTCTTTGGTCATTAACAATTCGGTCTTTCGTACCTTGTGGTACGAGAGGCCTGTTTTTCTTCGTCTTCTCCCAATTGGATCCTCCAGCGCAGCACAGCTGATTTTGGAATTCGGCGACGCGTTTACCTTTGGAAAGAAGACATTACAGACATGCCTTTTGTTCCAAAGGTAGCTTGGCAGATCATTAGCCAGCCTAAATGAAAAGGTGGTCTATCTGTCCTTGACCCGGGTTTATCAAATTGGAGCCTTGTCGTCTAGGTGGGTTCTGTGGGAGATTTCAGAAGGGGTCCTTTTGTGGCCTGGAGCGTTCTCACTAACCCAATGATAAAAAAACTTCTGAATAACTAATTCTGTGCGTGCCTCTGCAGGCAAAGGAGCAAAAACGACATACTTGCTAAAACGGTCAACTATGACCATGACTTGGCTCTTGCCATGCCTACTCTTGACCTGAGTACCCATGAAGTCTATGGACACTGAGTCTCCAGGTTGATCAGGAATAGGCAGCGGTCTGAGAAGACCTAGGGGCGAGCGTGTAGTAGTCATATTCTTCTGGCACACTTTACAACTGCGAACATACTCTATGCAGTCATTCTTCATCCCTGGCAGGTGTACGCACGCATTAGATTGGCTAATGTCTTCTGCCAACCGAAGTGTCCCTCCGTGTCATGGCATTCCCCTAGGATCAGACCGCGGATTTCCTCACTATTGGGAACGCATAGGCGGTCGAATACATCCGTCTTCTCAAACAGCAATCCTTCTGTAGTGCGGTAGTGTGGTTCGGTCTCTGGGGCCTCCTTAACTCTCTTGAGGAGGTCACTATAGATAGGGTCCTGCGCATATGCTTGCCTTACTTTCTCTTGCAGGTCTCTCCCTATATCCAGATAGTGTACTATGGCTCCAAAGTACTCTGATCTCCTACTCAGAGCATCCGCATCCGCAACTACGTTGTACTTGCCCTTTACTGCCTTAAGCTCAAAGTCATACTGGTCTATCTCAGCGGCCCACCTAGTTAACTTAGGTGTCATCTTGGCCTGGGTCTTTAACCATCTAAGTGTTTCATGGTCAGAATACCTTTTGAAGTGTCTCCGAAGTAGGTAATGCTTCCAGTGCTCTAGAGCCTGCCTGAGAGCGTAGAGTTCTCTCTCATACGTCGAGGTGGCATCCTCGCTGACATGAACTCTACGGGTCTATAGCCATTATCGTCGTCTTGCTGCAACACGGCGCCTATACCGTACTGACTCGCGTTCGTGGTGACGACAAATGACAAGGACGGATCTACTACCTTGAGGACAAGATACTCTATTAACGCGCGCTTTAATCTCTTTAGCGCAGACATACAATCTTTATCCCATTGCCAGATTGCCTCTTTCTTTAGCAACCTACGCAAGGGAGCGGCAATGGTAGAGAAGTTCCTCACGAACTTCCTGTAGTAGTTGGCTAGGCCTAAAAACGACCGCAACTCTGTCAACGTGCGGGGCGTCGGCCAGTCTCTAATTGCCGTTATCTTTCTGTCCTCTGGCTTGATGCCATCTCCGTCTAATACGTGGCCCAAGTACAGGACTTGTGTCTTGGCCCACTCGCACTTCTTTGGGTTGATCTTGAAGTTAGCCTCTTTGAGCTTCTCCAAGACCTGCCTCAAATGACTGATGTTCCTGGAGGGTCTTGCTGAAAACTGGAATGTCATCTAGATAAACTACTACAAACTTATCTAACCACGGCCTAAACAAATCGTTCATACATCGCTGAAACGTCGCTGGCGCGTTAGTCAGTCCAAAGGGCATCACTATAAACTCATAGTGCCCATATCTAGTCCGGAATGCAGTCTTGTACTGGTCATCAGGATGGACCTCTATCTGATGGTATCCGGACTTCAAGTCTATCTTAGAGAAATATTTGCAACCCTGCACCCGATCTAAGAGATCGTCTATCCTGGGCAGTGGCTCAACATTCTTTACAGTAATCGCATTGAAACCCCTGTAGTCTATACAAATACGAAGCTCTCCTTCCTTCTTGGGGACAAATAGAACAGGTGCTCCAAAAGGAGACGAATTGGGCCTGATCCAACCTTTCTCGAGGAGTTCATCTAACTGCTTGCGTAACTCCTCTAACTCTCTAGGGGACATCCTATAGACTGCTCCCTTAGGAGTTCTACTGTCGTGCTCTATCTCTATCTTGTGCTGGATGGGTCGCGACACTACTCCTGTCGGCGACTCAGTCAAATCTTTGAACTCTTCCAGCAGCTTGGCTATCGTTGGATCTGTGGAAGTCACCTCTTCCTTAGCCTCAGTGACAGGTCTAACATAAACTACAAAGACCTGTTCCTCTAATCGCTCCTTCTTCACTAATCGCGCGAACGGGGGAGCACTGAGACAACAATGTGCCACCTGACACATGAAACAGACGGGCAGTCTTAACCTCGCATGACGGACTAGGGAGCCTACACTCATGCTCTCTCAAGTGGAGTGTGGCCCCTGCTGCCTCTCCCCAATCCATTCCTAACACTATGTCGAAAGGAAGGTCATCCTGTACGAGGAGAGTCAGGGAATGGAGAACTTTCTCCACCTTCCCATCCTTCTCTAGGCGGAAATACGCCTGGACTCCTTCTACGTAGTCCTCAACTCGCATCGTGCGGTTGTCTGCGAGGGCACTGACTATAGGGTCTGCTAACTTTTGGACTTTCAATCCTAGCCTCAACTTCTTCAGCGCCCTACGGCTAATATAACTGTGGGTGGCCCCTGAATCTATAAGGGCCCCTACTCTGCTTCTAAACACTTCTACATCTACCAAGATCAGTTGCCCCTTACTCTCCTTTTTCATTTTGGCCCAGGCTGGCATCCTCTCCTTCAGCTCTTCTGCCACACCTGCGAGGGACGTGCCTAGAGAGACGCTAACACAAGCATTCTCAGGACAGCTAGCTAGGCACGGGCCTGCAACCTCTGCCATAGGCTCATGTGGTTTGGGAGTTTCCTGTTCGCGCACGCTCGCTTCCCCACACGGCCCTAAAGTAGGGGCAGTTGCGACCCCTACTGGCGGCTGCCTTTTGAGTGCTGGGCAGCCCAACGGGCCTGTCTATACTTAGGACAAAATTTAAGAATGTAGGCCGAGTCACCAAAAAACACGCAGTGACCCAAGTCCACGCGTTCCTGCCATAAACGCTGGTCCAAGCCCAAGTCCTCCCAGGGCCTGCCCTGTGGCAAGCCTGGGTGCCATCCTCCTTGAGGTGCCCTTCCACCTCGTCGCTGTGGGGACCGACAAGAACCTTGGCGATTTGGCGGGGGACCTTGACCCCTACCTCCCACTTGGCGGTTCCCTTGTCCGTCAACCCCCTGTGCGCCTGGTCCTTGGCCTCCAATGGCCTGGCCCCTTTGGCCCTGGCCTCCTCCTCTGCTTTGCGGCCTCCCTCCAGCCGGGACAGCAACATAGGACCTACCCTGCCCCACGCTACTGTCCTCCTCCTCAAGGCCCCACTTGATCTGACTATATGGGACCTTATCTATACCACCCTCATCCAAGGTAAGGATCATGTGATCCTTGGCCCTGACTTGGCCAAAGATGGTACGACCTTTCCACTTCTTCCCCTTGTCTAAGTCCTTATGCCAAAAAGTGGTAACTGGCATTGACTTGGCCTCAAACAGCACCACCTCTCTGCTTAGCGCATCGTACGTCATGGTAGGCTGTTGGGACTTGTCAAAGAAGTGCCCATGCAGGGGCTCGAGCATGGCACGATAAAATAACTGGACCAATTGGGTCTCAGTGACCCCATGGTCTGGGACGGTTACCAAGTCGTCCATGACGCCCTTGAGTGCCTTGGCACTCCTCCATTGTCGTGAGTGGATGGTTTGGAGTTTATCAGAGGCTCTAACGCCTCTGCGAAGATCAGCGAATCGCTCCCTAAGGAGCTTGAAGAATTGAGGGAGAGGGGTAATCTTGGAATAGGCGACCATGTCGTTTTCACAACCGGCCGCGCGCGCGAGGGATCTAGCAAAACTGGCCGCTTCATCCTTGAGGGCCTGGAAGGCTACTAGGACCTGATCATCCTGTACGATGTGCTGTAAGTAAACGTAGCTGTTTACACTAGCCTCCCAGTTGTCGAAGTTCTCGTCAGATTTCCCACCATAGGCATCGGAAACTTGAGTTTGACTGGCTCTTTGCGAGGTCTGGCCTCGCCCTCAACAGCGGCTGCTACTTTGGCGCCCTCAATAGCACCCTCACAGAACTTCCCCATGTTTTCTCTCAACCGCCTGACTTCCCCTCCAACGTGGGTAACCATTTCGTGCACGAATTCTCTAAATCCGAACCGCATGGCACTCAGCGCTACCTCTTGGCTCCTGTTGGCCTGGCGCTCCTCCGTCCACGCTGCGCTCAGCACCTCCAGGTACCCCAACACCTTATCCGATTTGGCCTTGTCGTCTGCCTGGGCCTCCACTTCCTGCCTACAATCCTTCATCTTCGCCACCTCTGCGGTCAATCTGTTAACTTCATCCCTCCTTCTTTTCTTCTCCCTCTTCATTCTGAACTTCCACTCCAACTTTTTCTCCTCCTCTCTTTCTTGTCTTTCCAGGGGGTCATCCATCGCTGCTAGCTCCTTGGCTAACGCATCCCTTTCGTCCTGGGGCACATAGAACTCCGCCTCCTCATCTTCCCCCAACGATAAATTATATATCCACTCGCTAATCTTCTTCTCCAACCCTGCGTCTTCGTCCTTCTTCGTGCCACTACTCCCCTCTCTACTCTCAATACGCATCCTCTCTTTTGCTTCTTCTGCTGCCGCTTCCTCTTCGGCAGCCTTTCTCCTCTCTTCCTCCTCCTGTTGAACTCTCTTCATCTCCTCCTCCAACCTCTTAATCTTCGCCGCCTGCTCCTCTGTGATTGCCTTTAGTTTCGCCTGTTTCTGGAGCTCTTTCCTCTCCTTATTTTCTCTCACTAAGGCGGCCATCTTCTCTTGCTGCTTAGGGGTGTAGGGGCTAGTACTCGTCCCACTACGGGTCTCAACCATGGTGATAAGTGTACAACCAGGTAAGTGGTTCCAAACTCACCACGCAGACTCTGACCCTTGACTAACCACCTATTAACTTAATCTAAGACTTACAGAATCCGGACAGGGATCCTGCCAACTAGGGTCTCTAGCCTGACCTAACTATGGCTGTCACTACTAGACCTGTTGCTGATTAGGAGGCATTTAAGGAGATCCCCCGAACTCCTCAGGAATTATTTAACGTCGCAGACAGGACGACGCGATCAGCAGGTGTCTCAACACTTATACGGTCTGTTGTACATCCCACAGCTCGGATTTTGGGCCTACCGTGCCACACCGAGCAGCCATCCGGTCAGTAAGACACAGCTTTTAGCCCTACTCAGCCCGTGTGGGTTTGGTCAACAAGACCCTATCCTTCATCCACAGAGTACTATCACTTAGACAGAAGAGACTCGATGCAGAAAGAATAGACAGACAGACCGGACTCAGCGAGTACCAAGGGGTGTGTGCACATCCATAGGGCGAGGGATAGGCTGAAGGCTTGGCGAGATTTTACCGGCTCCAGCTTGGTCAAAGTCTTGGTCAACACCTTGGTCAACGCCGGTCAACGCTGCGGTCAACTCCCTGTCAACCCCTGGTCAACGCCGGTCAACGCCGGTCAACGCCGGTCAACACCTCCAGTCAACTCTCCCGGTCAACCCTTCGGTCAGGTATGGCTGCCGGCTTCCCCTTCCTTCACCAACCTTCTTCTTCCTTTCACCTTCCTCGCCTCCTTTCACCCCGGCTGTGTTCTTCTTTTTTTTTTTTTTTTTTTTTTTCCGTCTCTTCCTCTGCCTCTCTCGGCT